AGGTGGAATGAATAACTTATATAAAAAAATTTCGCGCGATATTATGGTAAATTGTATAATTTTACATTCGCTTCGTCAAAAGGTCGAACAAAATTTTTTTTTTCAGATAATTTCCACGATTTTTGGAAATGTATCGTAAAAATAATTGCAATATTTAAAAGAAGTAGAAACAAATGAATAATCTAAGAAATTTCGCGCGATATTTATATGGTAAATTGTTTAATTTTATATCCACTTCGTCAAAAGGCAGTCGACTCGTCGATTCGTCGAACGAAATTTTATTTTTTGTTTTTAGTTTCCATGATACTTTTGGAAATGTGGAAACTATCGTAAAAATAAACTTAGAAGGGGTGGAATAATCTGTATGAGTATAAAAAAATTTCGCGCGATATTTATATGGTAAATTGTTTAATTTTATATCCACTTCGTCAAAAGGCAGTCGACTCGTCGATTCGTCGAACGAAATTTTATTTTTTGTTTTTAGTTTCCATGATACTTTTGGAAATGTGGAAACTATCGTAAAAATAATTTAGNGGGTGGAAATGAATGAATAACCTATATAAAAAAATTTTGCGCGATATTATGGTAAATTGTATAATTTTACATTCGCTTCATCAAAAGGTCGAACAAAATTTTTTTTTTCAGATAATTTCCATGATTTTTGGAAATATATCGTAAAAATAATTGCAATATTTAAAAGAGATAGAAACGAATGAATAACCTAAGAAATTTCGCGCGATATTTGTATGGTAAATTGTTTAATTTTATATCCATTTCGTTAAAAGGGAGTCGACTCATTAATTCGTCGACGAAATTCTTTTTTTATTTTTATTTTATTTTTTATTTTTAGATAGTTTTCATGATGGTTATATGATGGTTTCATGATGGAAATATGAAAACTATCGTAAAAATAAATTTAGAAGGGGTGGAATAATCTGTATGAGTATAAAAAAATTTCGCGCGATATTTGTAAATTGTATAATTTTATATTCACTTCGTCAAAAGGGAGTCGATTCGTCGAACGAAATTTTTTTTTTTTCAGATAGTTTCCACGATTTTTGGAAATATATAAAAATAATCGCGATATTTAAAAGAGATAGAAACAAATGAATAACCTGTTTGACCTGTATGAGTATAAAGAAATTTTGCGCGATATGGTAAATTGTATAATTTTACATTCATTTTGTCAAAAGGGAATCTATTCGTCGAACGAAATTTTTTTTTTTTCAGATAGTTTCCATGATGATTTTGGAAATGTGGAAACTATAGTAAAAATAATTTAGAAGGAAAATAAGTGGATAATCTGCTTAAATACGACAAATTTCGTGTGAATATAAAGAAATTTTGCGATAATATTTGTATAGTAAATTGTATAATTTTACATTCACTTCGTTAAAAGGAAAGGTCTACTCGTCGAACGAAATTTTTTTTTTAGATAGTTTTCACGATGGTTTTGGAAATGTATTGTAAAAATAATTTAAAAGGGGTGGAAATGAATGAATAATCTGTATGAGTATAAAAAAATTTCGCGCGATATTTGTATGATAAATTGTTTAATTTTACATTCACTTCGTCAAAAGAGAATCGACTCATCGATTCGTCCAACGAAATTTTTTTTTCAGAAAGTTTCTACGATGGTTTTGGAAATGTATCGTAAAAATAATTCAAAAGGGGTGGAATAACTTGTTTGAGTATAAAAAAATTTCGATATTTGTATGGTAAATTGTATAATTTTACATTCATTTCGTCAAAAGGGAGTCGATTCGTCGAACGAAATATTTTTTTTTCAGATAATTTCCACGATTTTTGGAAATATATCGTAAAAATAATCGCGATATTTAAAAAAGGTAGAAACAAATGAATAACATAAGAAATTTCGCGCAATATTTGTATAATTGGTAAATTGTTTAATTTTACATCCACTTCGTCACGGAGTCCATTCGTCCAAAAAAATTTTTTTTTTTCAGAA